TAGTTGCGTCGCTTCCCTGAGTGCCGGAAAGGTCTAGCGCCCGTATGCAAGGGTGATGCACTAGTGCCTTGCAAAGCGGAACCAACGACTCATCGCCCACATTCAAATAACGGATCTGCAAGGACAAGATGGAGCTATTGTGTTTCACGGCGGCTACAAAACAGTTAAGCTCAAAGTCCCCGAAGGTGATGAAGGTATCGTCTCCCTCCAGGCATACACTTTGAACAATATTTTGGACGGTTTGGTTAATAAGAATATTAATATCCATATCGACAGTATAGACTTCGTTGAGAAATGTAATATTCTCTTCGTCTTCCACATCTGCCGGACTGTCACTACCAGAGTCAGCGAGATATAAATCGTACAAACCCTTTGTTTTGTTCTTTTTCTTCTTCTTCTTTTTGGTCGGAACTACTGCCGGAGGGGCCTCCTCTTCGACGGGCTCGGGTTTCTCCCATTTCCCGTTCATTTTCCACTAATCGTGTGCTACAACTCTACAGGAACAAGTAACTAACAATGCGCGCATTCAAAGAATGGGAAGAGAAAGAGATGCATTTTCTTTTTAGACAAACCGACGCAGCAATTGCCCAACAGAAAAGAAAGCATCTTAGCGGCGGAGAATCCCCCTGGCCACGCTGCTTTTCTTATTAACGTTAGTATATACTCTCTTTGAATAAATATCCTTACCTACAAATGGCTACTGTCATTTATAGACAAACAAAAAAATCAATTCGCTTTTTTTTTTTTTATTATTATAAACGTAAAAAGGAATTTCGGCAGTAATCTCATTTTCGTCCCCTCTCGTGTCTTTTTTTAATCTTACCGCTCATCATCTTTTTTCCTCTTTACTTTGTATTTTTTTATTATTTTTCCTTTTCCGCCTTTTTTACAAACACTTTGACATCCGCCTAAAACGCCCTACAGCGCTCGCAACGTCACGTAACTTCTTGCTACGACAACCAAAACCCCCCTTTATACGAAAAAAAAAAAAAAAAGTTCTACAACAATTGCACTTCCCATCGAAGGAGACACTGGAAAATTTTAAAAGTAAAAAAAAAGGGGTCGTTAATTTTTTTTTTTGTCATCGCAGTTCATTACGCAAAAGCTCTCTTCATCCAATCCTTCTCGTGGGTGGGGGAGGCAACATCCAGCGCGGGCGCCTCGAGTCCCAAGCACGACGCGAACAGACGGGAAGTGATCAGGTACGGATCAGCGTCGCCGGCAGGGCGGCGGTCTTCCATATAACCGCGGCGCTCGGAGGCTACGGAATTGGGGATACGAATAGAGGTCGTACGAGTTCCCACGCCGAAAGAGAACTGGGAAATGCTAGAAGTTTCGTGTTTACCGGTGAGGCGAACGTCATTTTCAGCACCGTAAAAAACGATGTCCTTCTTGACAGTCTTGCTAAGTCGTTCGATATACTGATGAATGGCGTCTAAACCGTTTTCCGCCCTAGTCGATTCGGTGGAAAAGTTCGTGTGGAGGCCGCTACCGTTCCAGTCTCCCTTGATGGGTTTCGCCCGGTAATCCACGTCGAGATTGTTGTCCTCCAAGATTCGGAGGAGCACCCAGCGGGCAACAACAATTTGGTCGCCCATCTCAATTCCTTCGCACGGACCGACCTGGAACTCCCATTGCGCGGGAGTCACCTCCTCGTTCGTGCCAGACACGCTGAGACCCATCTCGAGGCAAGTCTCGTAGTGGAGGTCCACGTATTGTCTTCCCCAGGAATAGGGGGCACCCGTTCCGCAATAATACGGACCTTGAGGAAGGGGAAAACCGTGCGCGGGCCAGCCAAAGGGACGGCCGTTTCGGTCAACGATAAAAAATTCTTGCTCGAGACCGAACCAAGGGCGCTCATCGGCCTCCTGGTCAAAGGTTTGGCGGGCGGAAGCACGGGAGTTATCGGGTGTCGGCTCGCCGGTCGGCAGGTAGCACTCGGCAAGAACGAGAATCCAAGGGATTTTGCTTCCGGCGCGTCTCGGGAGGCAGCACGGGTATGCGTTCACGGGCTTCAGCAGAATTTCCGTGTCAGTGCCCAAAGCTTGTCCCGTGGAGGAACCGTCAAAATTCCAAACGGGGAAGAAATCCTTCAGAAGGAGCTCCTTGGGGTGCTGCTTCAGCTCCTCCTCCGTCAAATACATGGTTCTGTCCTTGCTGCGAATATCATGGTGGGAGTCCTTGCCACCGAGCCAAATGTAGGTCACGCGGGTGGCTTTCTTATCGGTGGACATCAGATTGGTTTGTAGTTAGTTTAAATTATCTTAATTAACAACGAAGTATATCCTGTTTGTTGGTAGTAGTAGTGGTGGTAAGGTTTAACTTGGTATTGAATTTAGTCTCTCAAGCCACTCGGAAAAAAAAAAGTAAAAATTAAAATTTCTTTTGTGTAAGTAATTCACCGCTATATTATATAGAAAGCACGTTTATTTTGATTTACTTTATTTAATAATTTATTTTGGTCGCAAAGAAGTATAAAAGAGAGAGAAATGTATGTTGCCAAAAAGCGAATTGTCACCAACCATTTTCACAGGACAAAAACGCAAGTGGGCTATTAACGAAAAACGACATATTCAAGAGAGCTGTTCCCGCGGCACGCCAACAATTGTATATGAAAGTAGAACGTCAGGACAAAAAAAAAAAAACAGCTAAAACCTCATTATTTAAGTAAAAATAAAATCTTTGTTAAATATTTAAGAATTATGGAAATGTCTTATTGTGTACTAAATTTCTCCAATAACATATCAGAAACACCTTCAGTAATTAACAATAATCATTGTACCTGATTTTTCTTTTACCTATTCCTGCGTCAACCAGCGCTTCAGTGCAAACAAGCTCGCGCATACCAAAAAAAAAAAAAAAAAAGACACAGGGGAAAAAAAAAAGACAGTTCATCAACTTGAACTGCTGTTTATAAAGAAAAAAAAAAAAACAGTAACTACTAACTTAAAATAAAATGTAGCTCTGCACGAAAGTGTCAACTTCACTTTTACTCATCTTAATTTTACTTTTCTTAATTTATTTTGTTACTACGTTAATTATATACTTTATTTCTCACACAGGAAACGGAAAAAAAAAAAATCGAATTATAGTAAGAAAAAAACGGACATTTTTCAATCTTGATAGCAAACCAGGTCTTTTACACCTTTATTTTCTTCATTTGTTTTTTTTTTTTGAGATCAGTTCATTTAAACTTCAGATGGACCCTCAAATTACAGAACAACTTTTGCTCGGTTGTTCATTACGCAAAAGCTCTCTTCATCCAATCCTTCTCGTGGGTGGGGGAGGCAACATCCAGCGCGGGCGCCTCGAGTCCCAAGCACGACGCGAACAGACGGGAAGTGATCAGGTACGGATCAGCGTCGCCGGCAGGGCGGCGGTCTTCCATATAACCGCGGCGCTCGGAGGCTACGGAATTGGGGATACGAATAGAGGTCGTACGAGTTCCCACGCCGAAAGAGAACTGGGAAATGCTAGAAGTTTCGTGTTTACCGGTGAGGCGAACGTCATTTTCAGCACCGTAAAAAACGATGTCCTTCTTGACAGTCTTGCTAAGTCGTTCGATATACTGATGAATGGCGTCTAAACCGTTTTCCGCCCTAGTCGATTCGGTGGAAAAGTTCGTGTGGAGGCCGCTACCGTTCCAGTCTCCCTTGATGGGTTTCGCCCGGTAATCCACGTCGAGGTTGTTGTCCTCCAAGATTCGGAGGAGCACCCAGCGGGCAACAACAATTTGGTCGCCCATCTCAATTCCTTCGCACGGACCGACCTGGAACTCCCATTGCGCGGGAGTCACCTCCTCGTTCGTGCCAGACACGCTGAGACCCATCTCGAGGCAAGTCTCGTAGTGGAGGTCCACGTATTGTCTTCCCCAGGAATAGGGGGCACCCGTTCCGCAATAATACGGACCTTGAGGAAGGGGAAAACCGTGCGCGGGCCAGCCAAAGGGACGGCCGTTTCGGTCAACGATAAAAAATTCTTGCTCGAGACCGAACCAAGGGCGCTCGTCGGTCTTTAAATCAAAAGTCTGACGGGCAGAAGCACGGGAGTTATCGGGTGTCGGCTCGCCGGTCGGCAGGTAGCACTCGGCAAGAACGAGAATCCAAGGGATTTTGCTTCCGGCGCGTCTCGGGAGGCAGCACGGGTATGCGTTCACGGGCTTCAGCAGAATTTCCGTGTCAGTGCCCAAAGCTTGTCCCGTGGAGGAACCGTCAAAATTCCAAACGGGGAAGAAATCCTTCAGAAGGAGCTCCTTGGGGTGCTGCTTCAGCTCCTCCTCCGTCAAATACATGGTTCTGTCCTTGCTGCGAATATCATGGTGGGAGTCCTTGCCTCCGAGCCAAATGTAGGTCACGCGGGTGGCTTTCTTATCGGTGGACATTATAAAAAAGAAAACTTGAGGAGACTGTATTAATGGGCAAAAAAAAGACCAATGCTAAAGGGAAAAGGAAGGAATTGGAACGGCGGCAGACCGGGGAGATGGAAACACGCAATCCCGTCGCTTCGACTTGGTCTCGACAACGACAGCAAACCAAATAAATATATTACTGTGAAAGAAACGGAACAAATTCTTGAAGTTGTCCCCTTATTCGACTGCGTCTCTTTCCTCCTTTTTATTATTAATATTTCTGGCGATGGCAAAGCATGACTGCCGCGGGAATCTGGAAGGCGGAAAAAAGTAAAAAAAAAAATACAAAGAAGGGTTCGGCGCCCGGATGGCCTTCCGGGGAGAGGGCCCGATAACCCCGCCGGACGCCGGGCACGGCTCGCCCGCCAGCAAAGCGCCCCAGGCTGCGCGCCGAAGGAAGGCCGCCGGCCGCTTACCTCTTGGCGGAAAGGAAGCCAGCGGATCGGCGGGCCCCCAAACAGCCCCCGGAGGCGCAAGGCCCAAGAAACAAAAAAAAAAAAGGAGAGCCCCTCACAAACGGGGGGAGACGAAAAACAGGCGGGACGCCTCTCTCCCGCCGCCCATATTAAAAAGGATGAGGAAGCAAAAAACTTTCCGTTGCCGGGAATCGAACCCGGGTCTAGTGGGTGAGAGCCACTTGTTCTAACCGACTATACCACAACGGAGCTGAAACTGAAGCACTATTTTTCTTGACGGCCAGAGCACCTCTGTTTAACCGGAGAGGGATGGGGGGGGGGCCCTCCCGGGCCCCCCAAAGACCAACGGGAAAAAAAACCTTGTCCGGAAAACAAGAGGGGCAGAAGAAATTTTACTGTTTTCGGCAAAACGCTCAGACAACAGCAACAGAGAAGCGACACGCCATTTGCTTTTATGGATTCCGATTGTGCAGTTGTCGGCTGCAACATTAACCATAAAAAAAAAAACAAAGTGGATGAGTCGTATACACTTGACAAACAAATCTTTTGATGTATTTTGATGGGGGAAACACACACACACCCCTCCAATACTAGTACATACCGCGGACGTAGAAAAGGCTCAAACAGGTCCAAATGAGCGTCGATACAACTCCCAGTAAGTGCTGGAGAGAGAGCATTTTGGACCATTCCGCTACCATGAAGTCTGCCTGATTGTACAGCAGCTGTGTTTTGATCCCCGTCGGGGCTGTCATCTGCGAAAAGAGCACGTAGAACAGCGTCTTGCTCTTAAACGTGTCTCCGCCGACGGCGAGCAGCACCTTCGAGACGAGAATCAAAAACACAAAGGTGACGGCCGGTATGATGACTAGTTTGGCGACAATCAGGCCCCACACAAACGTTTTGTTGGCCTCGCCGAGGTCGAAAATGGAATCCAGAAAGGACGGCTTCCGCTTGTCCTCTCCCTCTTCCGCCTCGACGACGACGTGCAGGTGGTGATCCCCCGTCACGAAAGACGCGTTGAAGTCGAACTCGTCCACCACCACCTCGTCGAGGGCCATGTTGTACTCGTCCGCGAACGACGCGTCGTCGCCGACGAGCTGCAGGTCTTCCTTGAAGAGGGGTAGGGTGGTGTTCTGCTCCACATTCCGCGACGGGGCGGGTGTGTCGTCCTCCTCCTCGTCCTCCTTGTTGGCGGTGGGGCCGACCAGCTTGGCCCCCAGCAGGAGCAGACAGCAGGGGATGGTACCGCCGGAGAGGACCCCGACCGTATCCATGAACATCTCCAGTGGTCCCCCAATGAAGATACTCCGCAGAAACGGCACAATACCAATGACAATAGCGACGACAATGGACAGGAAGGGAAGATTGGTGCTCAGGCTGCGGTACAGTTTCTTTGCGCCCTTCCTCACCCTCTGTGCCATGGTTCGCCGGACACGCGCGTCGTACTCCTTCATCTGGCTCGCGTAGACCACCCGGAGGGCGCCCTCTTTTTCCCAGTTATAGGGGAAGCGCTCCACCGTCGCCGGCGTGGGGGTGAGGGGGTGGAGGTCCAGTCCGACGGAGGCAGGGGCGAGTTGGGCACCCTTGTCATTGGTCGACATCACTTCCTCCCCCCGTTCCTCCACCTCCGGCTCTTCGCGGGGGACGGCAAAGTCCGTGACGATGCGGGTGGGAGAGGACTCCTCCACCACCTCCGTCTGGGTGGCCACGTCGTACTGCCGGAGGCACTGTTGGTGTCTTTCCATCAAGGTGCGGATCTGCTTCTTCTTGCGCTGCTGACTTTTGGAGTGCTTCACCAGCAGCGGCCCAATGCCCCAGAGATAAACAGTGTGGCCATGCTGAACACAAAAATGTACGCCGTCCCCTCCTCCAGGTCCACCCAGTCCACCCACTCCACCAGGTTCTGAAACACGGAGAGTGGCAAGATGATGGTGTTGAGGATGGACAGGGCCACGATGCTCCCCCAGAAGTACTGCGGGAACCTTTCCACCTCCACCCCGGGAACGGTGAGCTGGGGCACCACGTCCGACCCGGTCAGCCCCAGGGACTCCAGCCGCTCCCCCAGCACGACACAGACGTAGTACGTCCCCTTGTGCTCCGGCTGATCTCCCCTCACCACCACATCATCGGTGCACATCAGCTCCAGCCGCACGTCGTTGAGCAGCTCCGGGGGCACGCCGCGCTTGTCGTCGGGGACGGCGAGCATGGTTTTCGCGAACAGGGATGCGCACAGGACGCCGATGCCGATAAAAATGAAAGAAAGAAACAATAGTAAACAGCAGTTTATCAGCATGTCCGTAGTCACCGACATGGACACGTTGTAGAGGGCCAAACACGGGAGGAGCACCGCTGCAATTAAAAAGCTAAAATCCCTCACGGTAGACGATATGTAGGGAACCTTTTTACACGTGTAGGCCCCAACGAAGACGGCCACCGTCACCTTTAACACCGCCATTACCGTGGCGGCTACTAACCCGAACGACATGGTGAGGAGTGTGCGTGACGCTTTTGAATGCTGTCGTATTCTGTTCACAAAAAAGAAGAAGAAGAGGGAAGAAGCGGAGCGGTTACATTCCAGAGCAAACAGTGGAGATAAAGAAGGGGTTGATGGTTACCGCCTTTGGGGTTCGGAATAGTAAAATACGGAAAAAGGGCTCATTTAAATTTAAATCGTTTTCACTTGTCTGTTTTTTTTTTTTTTTTTTTCGAAAAGTTTTTCACTCTGTAAATACAGAAAAGAAAGACCATGTTGATGTCACCATCAACGGGAACCAATGACAGAAAAAGAGAAAAGTTGGCCCTCAATAAAATAAATTTTTAGGTTGGGAACAAAATTGGAAAAGAAAAAGAACAATAAAAAGTAGAAGAGGGGAGGGGTCTCTTAAAATGAAAAAAAGGAAAAAGAAAAGCATGGGGGAACGGGGGACTCCAAAAAAAAAAAAAAAAAAGTCCCGTTCACAGGTCCTCTTACAGTCGTCCTTCTTGAGGGGCGTAAGAGTTGGCGTTCGTGTTTCTGTAGAGCGAGCTCGACAGACCGTCGTTCAGGCTGGCACTGGTGTTGTTCCCAAAGGAATCCTTTTCGACCGTCCCGGTGTAGTGGGCGTCCTTGGTCTCCATATCGTGTGCCTGGTTGACGAACGCGACATTTCTTGAGATGCGAGCGCTTTTCCGCGACACCTGGCAGCAAAGGCACACCACAATGAGGGTGATGAGGGCGACGGCGAAGAGGACGGCGAATACGATGGTGCAGATAAAGGTGGCGCGGTTCACGGGACGGGTGTGGACCGCCTTGGTGCTGGTGGCGGCGCCCAGCCAGCCTTTCTCCCCCGGCATCCCGATGGTCAACTCCCCCGCGGCGACCGGTGGGTCGAACCAGGTCCCGGCCTTATTCACCACCTTCTGGAAGGTCACCAGGAATCGACCCTTCGTGCCTTCGACCACGACCAAGGTGCACGTGAGGCTGTCGTCGGTCACCTTTGTAATTTCACACTTTATACTGCCCTTCGAGTCGGAAAAGACAAACCGGCTTTGGTCAATGTTTTTACCGTCAAAGTTCAGAGCGCGGAAAGTGAGCTTCGACCCACTGCGGCACTTTGTGCTGTCTTCCGCACACTCTCCCGTGGCGGAGAGAATGATGGGCGTTGGGGGGTAGAGGATAATGCCATTACTCCCCAAGGTGCGGGCATCGCGGGTCAGCCTCCCTGTCGTCTCCGCATCGTTCAGCAGCGGAAACGCATCCCCCGAATCGACGGCTTGCCCGTTAGAATTGTACAAACACCGTACGGCATTGGTACTGACGGACACGACATCACACGTCATGGCATAGCTTTTGCCGAAGGTCACGTTGTAGGTGGCGCTCGCGTTGAAATGGCCAAAAAAGGTCAAGTAGGAGTTGTCCCTCAGGTTCGAGGGGGCTGCCATGGTGACGTTGTACATATAGGTGGTCTTGTCCGGCGCCAGCCAGAACGCCTTGGAATCGAGACGGTTGCGTCGGTTGAACATGATGCTTCCCAGCAGATTCCTCGTGCCCCAGGTGCCCTTCGTGTCCAGCATATTTTGTATGTAAATAGGGTACGTGCCAGTGGTCGCATTAGCCCCCGAGGCAAGACGGCAGGTAACAAAACCGCCCTTACCTCCCCCACCGTGCGCGATGGTCTGGCAGGAGAACTTAAATTTATCCTCGATGGTTTCATCCATTCCGATCACGACACGGGTGTATGCGTCGTAAGAGGAGCCCTTGGGTGGGGTGTGTGTGTTCAAACCAGCAGCGGTGATGTTCAGGACAGCATCCCCCGATCCGCACGCGGTTGAGCCTTCCGGGCAGATGACAGTCACGTTAACGTCGACCGGAGGTCTCGAGTTGAGCAAAAAGGGCCTCACGTTGGGAGATATCCTCAGAATCCAGCCCGATTTTTTGTCGCGAACCAAAATCTTGAACAGGCCCATGTGGGACGGCTTCTTCCATAGCGAGCAGGTCACCTTGTTAGAATTCACGGTCACCACGGTGCATGTCGGGCCATCATCGGAGCCTCCCTCCTCTGAGTTGTACACGATCACCTCATACGTGGCGGTAGCATCAAATCGCCCGAAAATTTCCATGACCTCCTCAAACGCCAGTACGGAACCGCCACCACGGGAAGACACGTAAAGTGTTTCAGCCTCGTCTGCGTCTCCGTTAGGGAACTTGACACTCGCTTCAGGATAAAATCCCGGTAAGATAGAGCCTGTACCCATAAAATTACCGTACAGAAAAGCCCCAATGTACTGAGGGGCGGATTTCATGTTCGCATCGTCGCCGATCTGATTTTGCAGGTATACGGGGTACATGCCGACCGGCGTGTTGGCAGCGAAGGACAGTTGGCAAGTCGCGTTACCGTTTCGACCACGCCCTGCCGTTTTAATGGTCTTGCATGTGATGCTTCGTTTATCTTCCGCCTCCGCCAGGAACCCGATGGTAAAATAAGCAAACCACAGGGTGTCCTGACCTTTTTGTTCCACGATAACCGTATTTAACCCCTGGCCTTGGAATGTCAAAAGAGCGCCCTCCGTACACAGAGTGCTGTTCCCAGCACAATCACCAACACCAGTAAGAATCGCCATGTCTGAACTGGATATCAAGATGTCAGTCAGGCTCGTTGACCCAGGCAAAATCCACCCAGTTGCCACATCCCGCACAAGGAACTTGAACGGGCCCATGATGCTGGGCTTTGAAAAAATGGTGCACTCAATTCTGTTGGATGTGATCTGAA